TAGAAGGCATTTTGTTTTTCTAGGCCTTTTAAATGGAGGTTAAACATCCTTGCAAAGGTCAAGTAGAGCTCCAAGAAATTTCCTTCAGATAACTTGACAGAAAGATTACAAATAAAGCTTTTATTTTAAAATTCAAATACAAATTCTATAGCAAAAATTGATTATTCTATTTCCTTCAGCTTTTTTCTCCATGAGGATCTTTCTTCCCAAATTTGCCTGATGTTGGGCCCTTCTAAACTAGTAGCTAAATTTTCCCTGAATGTCTAATTCTTTATGTCTAAGAACTACATCAGTGAACAGCCCAAATTTGGTCACATATTTGATGTTTCTCTTTATTGTATATGAAAGGCACAGTCTTGCAATGTTTTCCTTGTTTCCTCTCCTACTACCTCCACAACACAGTAACCTTCACACTGAATGAGAATAGCTGGATACAGCTTCCTGCATGGCTTCTCAATTGCTGGCAATTTAGTTGGCCAGATGGGGTTTCTGTGGAGAAATGTGTAGGCTAAGTGTGCCCCTACAGAGCTCTTGGCTCCTGCCGACTCAGCAAGCGAAGGACACAATCAAATAGTAAAATTTGCACTTCTTTTCTCACCTTCTTTATATCCCCCTTCTATTTTCTCTATTTTCTCTCTTTCCACTCATCCAGGACTGTGTCTGTACTACTCTTTCAGGTGACTTTTTTTTTTTTCCTCTAGTTAGGATCTGCAGTACCTTGAAATTAAGGGAATCTTTACCAGTCTTACTCTAAGTTCCTACAGGGAAAATGTGAAGTCACAGAGACTAAAATGAGGCATGAAGCTTTAGCAGACGCACGAAGCAGAAGCCGTGTGTGTAGATAATATGAAATGGTAACACAGAGCTCTTCAGCCAGGAATGGAAGATAGCACAGTGTCTGCATATTGTCTCTGTATGAGTAGCAGAGTGAGGCATCAGTTGGTTTCTGCTCTTACTGATACTAGGGAAGCATTAAGAGCAGGAGCAGCAGCTGAGATATAATTTTTTTTTTTTTTTCCGGAGAAGCCTTAAAAAAGACTAAGTGAGGGCAGATATTGAGGGAAATGAGATTTAAGCCCCATTATAAATGGAAATGTCTTCAAATAGAGTAATTTTGAAAATGTACTGAGGCACCAGTCCATTTAAAAGTTGTGGGAACGCATTCATTAGCCACGCTAAAGTAAAGGAAGGAAAGTCCCATAATACACGCTTACATTTACAACTGGTTGACTTCAGAATGCCTAAAATTGGCACGCAGATATTTTTATAAGTGATAGACAGCTCTGGGAAACAAAACAGTGAAGAAATCCAGGCAATCAAACAAAACACCTTATCAAGAGTAAGCTACAAGCAAATGGGATTCTGGCCACAGTATACTTGTACATCAAATATGAGAGTTTGGATCTCTGACATCCCTCTTTAAAATAGAAATGTCCTTTTTTTAGAAAGGTATGCTTTTTTCTTCATACGTATGTCTCAAGTCCCACAAAACAGACACAAGGTGAGAATACTTTTGTCTCTAGTTTCCAGTCAGATTTAATGAAGAATCACTATCAGAAATCTTACTATTATAAAGATAAAACAAGAGCTGAATATTTAAAAACTTTCTTTCCCCTTTACAAAGAGAAAAATATTATTTTTAAAGTAGTATTTAATGACTGATTAGTCCTCAGTCTGGTCCAGAGATCAGGTTTTTTGAATCATCAAGTCAGATATGACAGTGGCCTTGAATTGTGTTTTTGTTGAGAATGCTTGTGTGGTGAGAAAGTACTGTTACATGGGCTGTTCTCAGTCTCAGACCTTAAATTTCCAGCATGACTGAGGATCAGTAACGATGTTTCCATTCTTCTACAGGCAGTTAGTTGATGTCCAATCCTTCTTGCTAATTACAAACAAAACTATTTTCTAAAAAGCTACTATTTCTGATTTTAGAGTACACATAACAGAAATGAAAGCAGCCTGAATTATTAGTTCCAAGTCCTTCTACCAATGAATCTAACCTGAGAAAATTGATGATATTCTGTACATCACTGATAAATAATTTTGATGTCCCATTGACAATTTTAGCAGTTTATAGAATTTTATATCTGTCAGCAGCTGCTTGCCAAATATTTTCTTGCTATTATCCGGTAACCAAATACACATATATTCATAAATTTATACACACAAACATATGTATATATGTTAGGTAGGAATCTCTGAAATTGGGCTTAGGTAATTCAGTTTATCTGTTATGACTTTCTTCCATTTTCCTCAACAGGAAAATAGTCTAAAGTTTACTGACCTACGTTCTCAAGGTTCTTTCTTCCTACCTGACATATAGCATAATGGACACAAGGCTTGCCGTAAGTTGGAGGAAGGGTGGAAGTGTAAATGAGTTTTGCTGGAGGAAAAGGAAGGACATAAAATTTACCTAATTCTATAGCTTAATAGTTAAAATACTTAGTTGAATATAGGGTGGCTGTATATCAAATGACTTTAAATTTTTCTGAATTGCTTATATGTTTTACATTACATATTCCTTTGAGAAAATGTATTGGGTTTGCATGGCAAGGTTTTGGTAGAGGGGGGTTATAGGTGGTGTTTCTATGAGAAGCTGGTAGAAGCTTCCCCCATGTCCAACAGGGCCAATGCCAGACAGCTCCAAGGTGGAGACACCACTGGCCAGGGCTGAGCCCATCAGTGACAGTGGTAGCACCTCTGTGGCAACAAATTTAAGAGGGGAAAAAAAAACATGCACAATGGCAACTGCAGCCACAGAGTGAGAATATGTGAGAGAAACAAACTCTGCAGACACCAAGGTCAGCGAAGAAGGAGAGGGAGGAGCTGCTCCAGGAACCAGAGCAGGGATACCCCTGCAGCCCGTGGTAAAGACCATGGTGAGGCAGGCTGTCCCCTGCAGCCCATGGAGGTTAATGGTGGAACAGATCTCCACCTGCAGCCTGTGGAAGACCCCAGGCTGCAGCAGGGGGATGCCTAAAGAAGGCTGTGACCCCATGGGAAGCCTGTGCTGGAGAAGGCTCCTGGCAGGACCTGTGGAGAAAGGAGCCCATGCTGGAGCAGATTTGCTGGCAGGACTTGTGATCCCTTGGGGGGAACCACACCGGAGCAGTCTGTTCCTGAAGAACTGCACTCCATGGAAGGGACCCATGCTGGAACAGTTTGGGAGAAGTTCATGGAGGGCTATCTCCCATGGGAGGGACCCCACCCTGGAGCAGGGGAAGAGAACAAGGAGGAAGAAGCAGCAGAAACATGCGATGAACTGACCACAATCTATCTTTCCCCTGCATCGCTGAGGAGGAGCAGGTAGAGAAATCAAGAGTGAAGTTGAGCCTGGGAAGAAGGGAGGGGTGGGGGATGGTGTTTTAAGATTTTTTTTTTATTTCTCATTACCCTACTCTGATTTGATTGGCAATAAATTAAGCTACTTTTCACAAGTTGAGTCTGGTTTGCCTGTAACAGTAATTGGTTAATGATCTCTCCCTGTGCCTATCCATGACTCTACCCACCAGTTTCCCTGTCTTCCTGTCTCTACCCACCAGTCATTCATTATATTCTCCCTCACCTGTCCAGCTGAGTGGAGAGGGAGTGGTACAGTGTCTTTGGGGGCACCTGGCATCCAGCCAAAGTCAACCCCCCCCAGAGATATCCCTGGAGGAAGGGAACTGACTCAGGTCTTCTCTTTCACAGATAGCTATTCCAACCTAGCCTAACCCCAGTAAAGTTGCTGAAGGCAATTTAACTGGTCACCCACATTTTTCTTTACAGAACAGTATTTAGTTGTCACTACAGCTATGTTGTCTCTTTCTAACTGCTAATGACCATTTCTAATTCCTTGCATGTAATCCATGTCTGAATCTTCTATCTTTCAAATCTTTCCACTAAATTACATTCCATCTGTGAAGTCTATAAAGCCTTAATCATGCCTTCTAACAAATGTTATCACACTTATATAGCAAAAGATGCCCAGAGAGAAGACTAGAACATTTAGGAACTTCTACCATCTGTGCATCTCCCACTTATGCTTATTCAAGAGTACTTTCCCCCACCCCAGATCCTTCTTCTCCAAAGTGTTTTATACCTAAATGCATTTCCTTTTGTACAGATAGGGATCTTTGCTGTCCTCTGTCTGAAATAGATATTACTATATGCCATACAATTATAATAAAAGAATGTTGTTAGGGTCAAAAAAATAAATGCTCATTTCCTAGTTAGAAAATTATCAAAATGAAGTTATAGATGGAATCATAGTTCCACTCACTTGTACTTGACATAGTCTTTCATTAGAGTCATATTTTTTCGCCTCAAGATCCCTACTTTCTCAGTTGTAGAGAATTGACCTCTAAAGGAGGAAAACAGTGTTTTGTAGTATTGGAACATCATACTTTGAAGCTGAACACTGACACTCTCCTCCTTCACAGAATTCCCCCATAATATTTTGACTGTGATTTCACCTATTTCTGTGTTCTTACTTGACATCCTGATACTGTTTTGCAGAACAGTTAGCATGCCCAAACATATCTTATGTCAGTGAAAGTTTTGGCTTGCACATGTAAAAGCTATGTAATTGTAAGCATTCCCCAAAATATGCACATAAAAAGCTCAAATTAGATATCCTAAATCTGTGGATATTTTTGACCTCCATCACTGTATTACCTTCATGTTTATAATACTGGAATCATAATAACCCCCAGTATAATACAGTTCTTCACAGATTAAATAACATTTTTGAAATTTGTAGACAATGCAATGATATTCATCATAAAAACTTCCATTTAATAATTCTGTATCCAGGATGTTATTTGAACAGTATGCAGTAAATATGGCCTTGAGACAAACGCTGAACATGGAAAAAAATATTAAATAGTTTCTTATTAAATCCAACCTTACACATTTGTTCTGTGCAATTAAATAAAAATATGCTTTAATTTATTAAAATGTATTTGTTTATTTAATATGTATTTGTTCATTTGTGTTTTATTTATTTATTTGATTCCAAATTGAAATGCAGTGAAGAAAGACTATGGGAACATCTAATTAAATTGCAACCGAAAATTGCAATGGACAGTGCATTGGCATCTAAATTAAGGGTCTGATGACAGTATTATTCTGATATTTTATCATTTATGAGTGTTTTATCTGGCAATATAAATAGTGTTCTTGATAATAGTTTGGGTTTTTTTTATATTAATTCTTTTGCTATATCATTTCCCAGCCAAAACCCAAACAAACAAATTGAAAACACAACAAAAGTTTAATCATATGCTATATTAGTAATGCTTACATGCTTGGCCATCAGGACCATATCATTCTGATCAGATGAATAAACCTTTGTTATCTGAACAGCTAAATATATACAATATCACCCTTGTTTATGGAGAGCATAAATGGGATAATTTTATAGTAAATTTCACAGTTATTTTTTTACATTATTGATATTTAGGGCAGTCAATAACCTTTCTTCATCTTTTCTCTCTCTTCAGATCTAACTTTCATTCCTTTGTGTTCAAACATGGCAGCTTCCTGCTCCACACTGCTATGTCCCAAAAGAGAAGTCACCTAATGCTGGAGAAAGTAGTTTCCAGGCAAGGAGCTGAAATTGTCAAGAAAGTATTAGTCAACCATATGTTGGACTACACCCAATATGAATGAAATCTTTGGGGAATTTATTTTCTAAAAATGTAAAATCTTTACCAATCTTATGTAAAATTCAGTCTTAGTGGATTGCAACTTGAACAAACTTGGGTGGATAGATTTTAATTTTCAGAAAAAAAACCAAAAGCTAGTCTTTTGAAAGCTTAAGTTCATAGAGAAATGTATGAAAGTGCTGAAATTATTTAAATAAGATTGTCTAAAAATTTAATCATGGGTAAAATAACCTAGCTTCATTATCAAATATCATTGAATCAGTCTGACTTTTTTCAAAAATTTAACTGTAGCTTCAGACGTAGAAAGAAGTTATGTGCTAAACCTCAATAAAGAAACTAAAAGAGGGATTTATTATTTGAAGTGTCATGAAGTCATAATACCTGATGTTATCATTCTTACTTATAACTTTCAGACTAGTAATAACACCAAGTTAAGTCAATAACTTCTTCCAGGAATGACACATATGAAAACTAGAAAACTTTTCTTCTCATTACTTTGCGTTCATGAACTTTTTGGAACTGTAGTAAATTAAATATATCTTCTTTGAATCATGCTAGGAGTCATGTAGTGTCCCTTGAGAAAAAAAAAAAAAAAAAAAAAGATTAAGAAGTTTAGTACAAAAATGTAAAAATGTTTTTTTTTTAAAAAAAAAAAAAAAAAAAACCAACCTTAATAAATAAAAGATTTATAACTTAGTTAAAAAAAAAAAAAAAAAGTATTCACCCAGCTGTGATGATCTATAGTTCTAAAATTAAAATTGGAACTCCTTCAGCTTTCTGAAATCTTCTTTTTATCATTTCTTCCTTATAAAATTTTAATTACATTTGTTCATAAAATTTTTAAAAAGCCACCATATTTCCCTATCTTCACCCCCCCCATTATTCTATTTCTAATCCTTTCTTTCTAATCTATCTCTCTAAACTTCTCCAAGGTACTTGATAGAAAAATCTTCATGGAATGATTTATCCTAGTATATGGACCTTGCTTGTTCATCAAGGACTTAAAATATATAGAGATATAGATATACTTTCTGTATATTCAGTCTGGTAGCATCTGGTAACTGGTAGCATTTCTCTTCATTTGGATTAACCTTTGAAATCCTAGACAGCTCTGTTCTTGTAAAATGACAAATCCATGCATGCTTTCAGTTTCTTTTCACCTGGTTTTCCTTCCATCCATGCACTATTCAATAGTTTGAAAGTACTAAATTCCTTTTAGTCAGATATAGACTCTTTTGTCCTGGAATGACCTACCCACGTTTTCACACTCATTCTCCTTCTTTCAATATGAAGCATTCAGATGTGCAAAATAATGAACTTGAAGATGAGTGATGTAAATAGTATGTAAGCAATATATAGACAAGACAGACACACAGACATACAGTGGCAAAATAGCAGAATATGTAAATAGTATCTCACCTTGTAGACTTTAATGAGGTGTCAGACGTAAGCCTTCAGATTTTATTCAGAAAATTGCTAAAAAACCAATGGCTTCACTTTTGCAGAACATGCTGTAAATAAGCAAAAAATAAGTAAAATTATAATTACTTGCCTAGAGATACCCAAATAAATTTTACAGTTTCACATTTCAACAAGGATTGTGATGCTGAAGGGAGGAAAACGATCAATGAAAGTAAAGGTGTGGAAGAATTATCACATCTGAAATGCAATTAATTTAAAGATTACAAAATACTCAAAGCAAAGAGTACTGATAACCTTCACTACAGAATCCTGAAGGACTTAATACATACACCTGAAGGGTCTAGAACAAGGATTCTTAGTAAGTATATCAGAATGATCATTTATGGAAAGTAGCAAATGGCCTGCTTACATTTCAGAAGCAAAGCTGAAGGAGAGGAAATAAATAGATCTCTCAATATGATTTCTTGATGGTTTTAGAATGTAAAGCTACAGAGTAAATTTTGAAACAAAGAACTAGTAACGGTACAGAAATAGAGAGCAAACCTAGTAAAATCTATTTGAAGGTTTCCAAGAGTAGATGATACCATTTACCTGATATCTTTCTTTAATAATTTATCTTCTAACCAAGGCAAGCGGAGAAGATCTCACCTGTCTGGATTTCAAAACAGGTTTTGACACTATCTGATAGGAAAAGTGTTAGTGAAGATTGAGAAAATAAATAAGTGACTAATTAGGAGAGGACAACTGTGTTAGGTGTTTGTATTGTTATATGGAAGCTGTTAAGGGCTTCTTCTTGGGCTGTACTGCAATAGGATTTTTTGATATGTAAATACTAGAACACAAAAACTTGGAGCATGATGCTGAAATTTGTTTGTAAAACAACTCTGAGAATCACTGAAATTATAAAAACATTCAGAAAGAATCAAGTGACTTTGATGACTTCTATAATAGAAATGGAATTAAACGTAATAGTACAAAGAGCAGTGTAACAAGATTTTCAGCTATAAACTGTGAGTTTATCAGCTGGAAATGACTGAGAGAAAAAGAAAGATCCAGCCAATCTACAAGTGAAAAAATGTCACTTAAACATGTTATAGCTATGAAATATGCTAATATGGGGTATTATACAAGGTATTTCTAGTAAAGAAAGGGAAGTTTAATGCTATTATATGAGGTAGAATACATCTTCATGATGGAAATCATGAACAGTTCCTGTTCTCCATATTAAAGAAAGATTCACTGAAAGCTTCACTAAAAATGCAGTGGATGCAAAGGGGAAGTCTGTCAGCATGATGTCAGGAATGCAGAACTTAATTCATGAGAGGAAATTGAAAAATCTTGTATTATTTTGCAAACAAAACCAAGATGAAATGTTCTCTGTAAACACATACATGGGTAGAAAGAGCCTGCAGATGTTTATAGTGATGTATTAAACTTTGAGATCAATATCAATATAAGAATTTTACATAGATATAAATATATATTTAAAAAAAAAAAATATGTTTTTTTATGCAACATGAGTGCTTGCACTAGTAGAGGATAGGAGTCAGCACCCAAGGATAAACTGCTAGTTTACTCTCAGTTATAAACATGATCTCTGTGGTCAGGCAAAATAGCATTTACACCACCAAGTGGTTTAGTGGCATCTATCTTGATTAAAATGCACATCATTTTCTTCTTCACTCATCTGCTTAAGATCTACATGAACGCTTTAAACATCATTCACTCACTAGGTGCCTAATGCAAAGCTTATTTAGTCAAAGTACTTCCATTGACTTCTGTATGCTTTGGATTAGATTGTATAACCTTACCCATCAACCAGCTGCTTCAGGCTTCCAGTTTTATCACAATATTAGACTGCTTTTCTCTTTTCCCCAAGATCTTAAAAGGCAGAAAAAGAGGTATACTTTGGTTTGCCCTGACTGTTCTTTAATGTGCTTAGATTGCAGTTATTTCCTGCTGAGCCCTGGATGAGGTTTAGTTTGTTGAAGAGCAACTTTTTAATCATCTCACAGAATGAGTGAACTGGAAGATATGTCAGGCTTCTATCAGAAGATGAAAAATGTGGAAACTTATCAGAACCTCTCTTCCTCTAGATATATCGTAGGTCATAAAAACCTACTCTGTACAGTACTTATTACTCTTGTAAAAGAAGTTAAAAATGTAATTATGCAAAGGATGATCACCAAGAAACTTTGCAAAACAGTTAATGCAGGAGTAAAAGTATGGCTGCCTGTGCATGGCAAAAAGTGCAGAAGAGGCAGCAGGAGAACAAACTATTTCAAAGACAGGCTACATAATTTTCCCCACAGAAAGGGTGGCTACAAACCCTTCACTCTTATTTTGGAGAATTAAGGTAGCAGTGCAAAACACTTCAGAAGCAAAGCTGATCAGGGTTGTACCAGCATATAGATCAGTACTTAACAGCCTAAAATATATTTGGCTACTGGATGGACTTAGTGGCTTTATTTTTTTCCTATTGGTGCTTACAGGATCCTTTTTTAGGGTGATATAAGCAGGGCCCTCCCCAGACTCTAATTCTCATCTTGTGTAAATGACAAAACTCTTCACTAGAGCTGTACAGTACAGGCATGGATATCTATGTTTATGTTTTAATCTAGTTCGCGGAAAGGTGTAAGGGACTCCACCTCTTCACACCTGCTTTCTCTTGCTCACAGTTAACAGCAGATGGTATCAGGTGAATAGTCCTTACTTTTTTCTGTGAATAGTCATGCCTCTGTTAGGGTCAAACAAAACATTAAGGAAAAAATGGTACACTTCTGCACTGTACAGCTAAATAATGGTTATAACAATATGAGCAATAAGAGTCCTAGTGTTGCATTTTTCATATGGTCAAAGAAATTGCAAGACTAACATTATGAAATACCTAGTAAAGCAGTTTTAATCATTGCAGAATAAGGTCAAATAGACTACCCAATAAGCAATGAACAGCCTGGTCCTATTCTAAATTAATTTCCTTGCCACCATATTTATTTCCCTAATTTATAATAACTGTGTATTTATATGACCCTTATTTCATCCAAAGAGCAATGATTATTTTTGATGAAGTAGACTGAAATATCAAAGCTCCAAAACAAGTGAGTATATATGTAGACTTAAAAATTATATTTTAGATATAGCCAATAACATATATTAGCGTTAACTTACAGAAGGAAATAGAGCGCCACAGAATTCAATTATCCATAACAGCATTTGAATTTTAATATCAAAGGTTCTTCCTCTGAACTCTGCAGAGCTGCCATCTTGCTTGGATATTTTCTCTTATACTCAACAGGCAGCTGACACAGTAGATTCACAAAGGCATACCAGATCTTTTATACTATCCTGAATTATATTAATAATAAATTAAACCCGCACAGGATGCACTAGGAATATCAGACAAAAGATTTTATGATCTGGTGTTTCTCATTTAAAAATGAAAGAAAACTAACTCACAGAAAAGACATTTGCAGCATATTAAAGACAAAAAAGAAAAAAAAAAAAAAAAAAACATAAAAAACCCACACAAACAAAATGTAGAGCATAGAACTGAAAAATAATATAGGTTGAGGAGTCTTCAAGTGTGTAGAGGCAAAATAGTTTTACAATGTCTGTGTACTCAGTCGTGTATATAAGGCATAGCTGACAAATAAGTGGGAGCAGAAGCTTGAGAATAACTATATTTCAATATATCTATAACAGTTTAGTATATTTTACTGCTATCCATCAAATTTCATGATACAAGACTTTCCTGTATGTATGTAGCTCTCTGGAAATCAAACTTGTTTTAAACTATCTTCACAATGAGCTGCTTTGATGTTTCAGCAGTCCATTAAATAAAGCAGGAATGATTGCCACTTATCCAATGACAAATACTCAGGTGAATCCAGAATATATTAAAAAACCCCTATCTTATAGAAGTGCAAAACTGTGGTCTGATGAACTTAATCTGGAAAGACCCATTTGTTAGTGGCTTGCTGGGTGACTGAGTAGGTCATTGCATTTCCTTTTATCTCATAGGTATGATTTACAAAGCACGTTGAGACCTTCAGTGTGCTCACTATCAATATCAACCTTGGAAACCTTATATCAAAAAAATCCTATATTATTTCCAAAAGTAACTGTGGTCTTCTCTGCTAGTGAATACATATGCATATCAACCATGCCCATTTAATATTTCCAGTGACAATGAACACATTTTTCTTTCTTCGTCAGTGCTACCTGGTTCTCACACATTTCATTTAAATTAAATCCAGCTGTAATTATCTCTCCTGGATATCTCATTGTATCTCTTTATGAGAATATATACTAATGATTCATAATTTCCCTCCATTTTTGATAAGAATTCATTCAAACTCATCTTAAATGCTGCTTTTTTTTTTTTTTTCCCTATAGTTAACTTTGCATTTAGAGAAATTGAACAATAGTTTAATTAAAAAATAAATCTATAAAATAATGGGGCTGGGTGCAGCACTCATTTATACCCCTGCAAATCCAGGAAAACCAGTAAGTTGTATATGAAGTATAAATCTAACCAAAGTCTGCCTTCCCGCATAAAAATTCATATGCTTTTTTAAGACTTTTCATTATTTTTCTCTTCTGATTTTAAGCACAATCTGTCTGTCATTTCTGTGTGATTTTGAATGGTTAGCTTTTTTGTCAGTATCTGGGAAAAAAAAAAAAAAAAAAAAAAAAAAAAAAAAGAAAACCTCAAACTTAGTCATTGTGATTTGTAAGGAATACATATACACTGCAAAAATCCTCATAAACAAAATCACAACCGCTTCTGTTAAATGTTACTTTTCATCAGTCTTTATAAAGGTGAGAACTCAGAAATGTTGATGGAATCATGCCTATGCAAGAACCTTTTATTTTGAACAGACCTCAAATATTTCTTTAAGAATGAGTAATCATGTGAGATTTAACCACTGTTATCCAACACAGATTATTTTTGCTCTGTCAGTAACTTTTAAGGTGTATTATCTAGCTCAAAATTCTCACAGAGTGTAAAAGAGAGGATTTAAACAAAGTAACTGGTTCCATGCTTAGCTAGCATTCAGTTAAATAAGCACAGATGTAGTTGTTATCCGCTTAAAAGTAAATCTGTGATTTCCTTATTTAAACGCTGAAGTTCTAACGTCCACCAGAAACGCTGTTGCTGCAATGAATAATTTAATCACTTCTGCCTATTGCATGCTACTACACAGCAAGCATATTTGCAAGGCTGTGAAAGACACCGGGCAAGTGTCAGCACTCCCTGTAACTCAGCCGACCTCCCAGTATATTCACTGCAATGAACTCAGGGAGCTCTGGAGCGGCCAGAGGGAAACTGTGGTAGGGAAGGGAGGTGAAGAGATCACAACAGAATTGCACCAGATCAGCGCGACACTTCAGAAAGATGAAAGGTCAACGCGGGCTTAGTGCTGTCGTGGTGTCATTTCATCTGTTCGTCCCTTGGTGGAGTTCTTGAGTTAGTTTCTCCCTTCCGTCAGATGTCTTTAACTGCTTTATGTGGGGCTTTTGTCCTTGTTTTTACCCTGTCATGTTTACTGTATTTAACCGTTTCCTCGTATTATTATTAATATGTTACTTTCAAGCGACATTTTTTTTTCCTTCGGGAGCAGCTTCTTCATTGTGTGCGTGCCTGTGTGCGCTCAATTAGTAATCCGTAGTATATATTTGTTAATGTACAGAGTGGTATGGATATGTAAATAATCTGCCTCTCTCTAACCCGAGATGGATTCCCCCTGCAGACCTCAGAAGTAATTTTCTAGTGAGAGTCACCGACATTCCTAAACTGCGAAAAACAAATTGTCGTGAGCTGAAAGCGCCAATTGCGGACGCGAATAGAGGCTCCGGCAGCAGAAACCGGACTCCGCCAAGAAATGCAGATAAACTAGACATTAATTGCATCTGCATATATTTGCGATGACCCCTGTCTTTCCAATCAACAACTACACCAACGACAACAAAGCCCCTCTGCAGAGCATCGGAAAGGGAGCTTCGGGGGCGATGCAAGGGAGCTGGGGAAGCTCCCAGGCTGCTTTAGGATTTCCCCACGTACAGCAGGCTGAGAATGTCAGCAAGACGGATTCCTTCCCACACGCAAAATGCCACCTCGGTGGCCTTATCAGATGTTCCCTTTAAGGACACAAGCTCTTATTTCCCCTCTGTATATCTCCAGCATCTCGGGCTATTTTATTTATTACAGCCGATTACATTTGTGATCCCGCTTCCCACTTGATCTCACCAGATCAGGAGGACAAAAGCCGTGGCGTGTCTGAGCGCGTGTGGGAGTCTGTGTGCACTGGGATGGGGCGCGGGGGGGGGGGGGGGGGGGGGGGGGGGGGAAGGGGGGGAGGGGGAAGCCGGAGGGACGGAGGGGGAGTAACACTGCGCAACAGATTTGCCCGAGAGGGCCAAACCTCCCCCGCCTGAAACAGCCGGGCTTGTCCCTACCGCTCCCCAAAACAGCTGTGCGCCCACGGGCCGCGGCGCCGGGAGTCCGGGGTGGCGGCGGGGGTGACTCTCCTCTCCCCCCGCACGAAGGAGAGGGACGCGGGGGGGACGCAGAGGGGGACGCGGGGGGGACGCGGCCAGCACGGCCCCGTCCCCCTCCCGGCAGCCAGGGCACGTGGAGCAGGAGCAGCGCTGCCATCCCCCATGCAGTGCACGTCGGGCCCATTTCCCACGCCGGCCGCCTGCCCTGGGGGAGGGACGCGGGGGGGGGGAGGGGGGGGAGGAGGGCGGGAATGATAGGAAAGGGGCGGGGGGGGCCGTTACCTCTGCTCCGAAAAAGGAACCAATCCACTGTGAAGGACGCAGCACTCCCGAGCAGGAAAGACACTGCACATTCAGAGAGAGATTGCATGTGAAGACACTGCAAAAAAAAAAAAAAAAAAAAAAAAATGAAAGGGAGGGGGGGTTGGGGGGGGGAGGCGCAGGCCGCATGTGAAAGGCGTAGTGTGTGTAAGAGAGGCCAGCGAGGGTAGGAAGGGAAGGGGGGGAGCGATTGCACATGGCAAGAGAAAGAAATCACTCATTCGCTTGAAAGAGGCTCTCTCAAACCAGACCGTAGTAAAAGTAGACATGGGAGACAACGGGAAAGGAGACGCAGACAAGAGGCGAGGTGTCCATGCCGTGCAACAGCCCAGAATCCGATTAAAGTTTATGGCGGGGAGGTTAAAAGCGCTTTCATCCCGCCCCTCCCCTGGCGAATACATTAAGTTTCCTGGCTGCGTTTAAAAGCACAAAGGGAAAGGAACAGCGGGGGCTTCGCCTTGCAATTGTATTGCTTATGCAGGGAGCCAGTGTAATGCAGTATGCTGGTATTTGTACGTACTGGTATGTCTGGATCTGAAACTGTGGGCAAAATTTCCTCCTCTCAGAGCTCCAGAACAGCGAGGGGGAATTTTGATAAATTCAAGTTGCTTGGCAAATATAATAGGAATTTCGTATTAATCCTACTTAACCCGCTGCGAAGATGCTGAGCTCCCGAGCCCCCCTCCTCCGTCCGGGACTGCGGCGGTGAACACTGAGCCTGCGCTGAGCCGGGCTTTCTCGCTGATGCTGCAGATATAAAGCCGAGCGTCTCCGGCATCGGCGGGGGAGGATTTTCGCGTTCTGGCGAGGCAGGGAGAGCGGCCGGGGCCGGGGGAGCAGCCCTGCAGCCACTCGGAGAGGGGAGCAGTCACCCGCTCCCCAGAGCCGGCTCCATGCGGCTCCATTCTGCCTCTCTGTGCCTCCGGACTCCCCGGGGAAAGAGGTGACAACCTTCCCTCCCTCCCACATTTACTCACCGCCCCAAATGACAAAGACACGCTGTGACCGTTGCTTTGAACCACATCAACATATCCGGCCGCTTTTCGCTCAAATATATCATCGCGATGAGAGCGCCACATCTCACTACACTCGTCTGCATGCATCTTTATTCAAAATGACCGTTTAAAAGGAGGAATGCACACGCGCGCACACAGAACCCGCAACAACTTGTTTTCCCACATGTGTTCACAGGGGGAGAGAAAGCAGCTGGATTCCTGCCTCCCGCTCGCTGCGCACACAGAAACACACGCACACACCGGTTCTCTTCTCACTGGCTGCCCCATGCTCATCCAAGTCCTTCCTCTGGCCCCAGCCCCCCGGAGTCTCCCTATTTTCCCTCCGGGATCCGGGCAGAGAGGACAGGTATATGAGCCAGGCATCGCCCAGGGCGTAGGGGCACACAAAAGCCGTAGGCGGTTAAAGGGAACAAAGTCAAAAGGAGACGCGAACTAGGGACGCTAGAATAAACAAAGTTGAGCGGAGAGCTTTAACATTAAAGTTTATTTCCCACTTACCCAGGTAGGTGACGCTACATTTTACAATTACATCGAAGCAGTAAGTCTCTGTCCGGAAATAAATCTGTTACTTCTCTACATGTGTTTATTCCACTAACCCTCTCGCCCCCTTCCTGATCATCTTCTCCGAGAGATTTTTTTTTTTTTTTTTTCCTCCTTAGAAACCCACAAACACGCTGAAAAGACACATTCAAACCATGGTAATAGGAAGAACATGAACACAAAGACCAAAAGGCTCAAACAGCACTGGGAAACAGGACGAAAGTCTGAGATCTAAGGCAGCCAGCCCCCCTTCCTCCCTGGAGTTCTATGCAGTTACAGTGACTGGAGCTATTTCACAAAAGCACCGACACGACAGGGGTAGGTGGGAATCTGTGCGAAACGAGTTGTCTTACCAGCGTGATTCCGCAAAATGCAGAGCCCCGAACGTGCACCAGCTCTGCCTAAAAGAAAGGCGAATAAACATTTGTTTTAAAAATCGTTGCTCAGTTCACAGTCTACAGAGGAGGTGGGGAGGGAAAGGGTAGGAGAGAATCACTAAAGATCGCGGGTTTGAGAAGGCAACAGCAGCAACACTCGGGCGTGTAATGAGGATCGGTTTTGAGGACTGAACTGGTGTTTTGTGATGAGCAGCTATCCCACTTGCAGCACTGGCAGCAGCAGAGACAGAGGGTAAGGCCGGGCTTTTTGGAGTGCAGCGCTTGACTCGTCCTCCCTCCTCCTCCTCCTCCTCCTCCTCCTCCCTCCCTCCCTCCCTCCCTTCCTCCCTCCCTCCCTCCCGTTCTCACTCTCGCTCTCTCTCTCTTTGCTCTCCCTCTTTCTCTCTCTCCCTCTCTCTTTCTGTGTGTATGTAGCGCAGGCGGCTCTACTGCTGCAGCGTCAGGGAAGAGCTACCGAGAGAGGCTTCAGCAGCTCCCACCACTTTAGGCAAACTTGCCGGTTTACTGCTTTTTTTTTTTTTTTTTTTTTTTTTTTTTTTTTTTTTTTTTTCCGAGTGGGAAGCTTCTCAGTTGCCATTCAACATTTTAAAGCACAAGCCGCTCTGCCGTGAAAGCGCCTGATCCACACTTCTCTGAAAGATACAGGAGGGAATACACAATCGCAGATTTCACCCACCGTGGCGGTGCAGATCACAGGAAACAACTGACTGATATAATTTTATTTGCAAATAGAACTCTCTCTATATATATTTTTTTTTTAATTGAGTCGCGGCGCTTTTCCCCTCCCCTTTGCTATTCCGCTTATATGGATGTAATTCAGAATCTGTGTTAATTCACGTGGGGGATCCAGTTACATCTTGTTCCGCTCCGGGTATATTTACGAGAGACCAATAATCGCCTTTGGACACATAGTTTTGTTGCTAACCTTTGAACTGAAAGGATCAAGTTCAGATCTGGTTACCTGCATTGGGACGGGAAGGAAGAGGAGAGAGAGAGAGAGAGAGAAAGAGAGAGAGAGAGAGAGAGACTGCAATCTCATTTGTGAATCGCTCTCAGTGCTGCAGATCCAGATTGCTCTAACACATGCAGTGCAAATGCAGGTAAGGCACACACACAAACTGCGGATGCAAAACCAAACTTGGGACTGTTGTGTGTGTATGTTCATATCTACAGCCTTGCAAATTTTGGGCAAACGGCTTCTGCAGTTTCTGTATCGTTGCTTTGTGACTAATGACCTTGCGCAGAGTTGTTAAAAAAAAAATCCGCTCCGGAGAAAGAGCTGAACATTTTAGGCGATCTCTGAAGATGGATTTGGGTGCTTTTATGCCAACCAAAGGGGATATTCTGTGGACTGCTCTGTAATACACGGGGTTCTTCTCATATCAACTGTGCAGCTGCCGACATTATTGGGATTTTTATTTTTTTCTTTACCTTTTTAAATTATTTTTTAAAGAACTGCCCATTGCTAAGAGGATTTGGAGTTTTCCCGGACACAAGCCCTTTGAATAAAGCGAATCACATTTTTTTTTTCCCCTGTGTGTGCAGAGAGGGGGAAGAATAAAGCTAATGCCTTGGTCGTAAACGGCTGAGAGAGAGAGAAAAGAGAGAGTGTGTGAATTGTAGTTAACTCTAGTGTCGAAGACGACGACCTGGGGGGCTTCGAATCTCGCAGTGCTGCTCCTGCTTTTATTGCAAACCTTGCAAAGTGATTACAGTAAAATCAGAGAGGAGGAGGAGAAGGGGGAGGAGGAGGAAAATCCCATCCTATCTACCGAGATGAATCTTTTAAAAGCAAAATACACTGTCCCGTGAACTGTAAGTATATCGCAACTGGAAGGCAGCGAGAGCAGCAGGGGAGCCAGCAGCAGGGTTTTGACCACTAATTGCACCAGCCATGAGACAGTAAGTTTCCAGGAGCAGAAGGATTTTATAATTGATCATCCGGACGCTCAGCCGCTCTGTTGGCTTATCAGGGGAGTTTACTGGGGGACAGGTGGGAGTGAGAGGAGGGGGGATTTCGGGGAGGAAAATGAGGAAGATGCGGACTCTCCTCGGCTTTGTGCATTGCTGCTGCTGCTTCTTGCTCCTCCTGCCTCCGCCGCTTTGGGTCAGCCTGGCAGCGGCCAAGCAGCTCCTGAGGTACCGGCTGGCCGAGGAGGGACCCGCCGACATCCGCATCGGCAACGTGGCTTCCGACCTGGGAATCGTGACGGGCTCCGGAGAGGTGACATTCAGCCTGGAGTCGGGCTCCGACTATCTCAAAATCGATAACATGACCGGGGAGCTGAGCACCACGGAGCGGCGCATCGACCGCGAGAAGCTGCCGCAGTGCCAGATGATCTTCGACGAGAACGAGTGCTTCCTGGACTTCGAGGTGTCGGTCATCGGCCCCTCGCAGAGCTGGGTGGACCTCTTCGAGGGCCGGGTCATCATCCTGGACATCAACGACAACACCCCCACCTTCCCTTCCCCTGTCCTCACGCTGACCGTGGAGGAGAACCGGCCCGTGGGGACCCTCTACCTGCTCCCCACCGCCACCGACAGGGACTTCGGCCGCAACGGCATCGAGCGCTACGAGCTGCTGCAGGAGCCCGGCGGGGACGGCGGCCGCCGCGGCGGCGGCGGCAGTGGCGGCGGCGGCGGCGGCGGGGGGGGCTCGGCCTCGGCGGCCTCCGAGAGCGCCCTCTACCCCGGCGGCAGCAAGCGGCGGCCGGAGGCGGACACGGCGGCCCGCAGCAGCGTCTTCGAGCTGCAGGTGGCTGACACCCTCGACGGGGAGAAGCAACCGCAGCTGATCGTCAAGGGGGCGCTGGACCGGGAGCAGCGGGACTCCTACGAGCTCAGCCTCCGCGTCCGGGACGGCGGCGACCCGGCGCGGTCCTCGCAGGCTATCCTGAGGGTGCTCATCACCGACGTGAACGACAACAGCCCCCGCTTTGAGAAGAGCGTCTACGAGGCGGACCTGGCGGAGAACAGCAGCCCCGGGACTCCCATCCTGCAGCTACGAGCCGCAGACCTGGATGTGGGGGTGAACGGGCAGATCGAGTACGTCTTCGGGGCGGCCACCGAGTCCGTCAGGCGCCTGCTGCGGCTGGACGAGACCTCGGGCTGGCTCAGCGTCTTGCACCGCATCGACCGGGAGGAGGTGAACCAGCTTCGCTTCACTGTCATGGCCCGAGATCGGGGCCAGCCCCCCAAGACAGACAAGGCCACGGTTGTGCTGAACATTCGAGACGAGAACGACAACGTGCCCACCATCGACATCCGGAAAATTGGGCGCATCCCACTCCGGGATGGTGTGGCTAGTGTGACCGAGGACGTGCTGGTGGATACCCCTATTGCCCTGGTGCAGGTGTCGGACCGGGACCAAGGTGAAAATGGTGTGGTGACCTGCACCGTGGTGGGTGATGTGCCCTTCCAGCTCAAGCCGGCCAGTGAGGGTGAAGGGGAGCCACAGAACAAGCGCAAGTATTTCCTCCACACCTCGGCCCC